CGTTGCTGTTGCCGTTGGATGCGGCTGGCGTTGTGCTTATCGAGCTGGCCGACCTCTGCCAGCATTGATGCAGCGTAGATCCAGGGATGGATCCCCAGGTCAAGATGCAAAACTGGCACAACGGTATGGCTGATCTCGACCAGCAGAATTCGGGACCGGATAACAACGCTACTACACATCGTTGTTAGCGACGATCAGCCTTGAGTGTTCGAAAGGTGTGTGACTGTTTGCCCTCATCTGACACGTCAGCAGGCGATAAATCCATCATCCTCTTTGGACAGTGGCAGTGTGTAAGCATGGCTGCACTTCACTTAATCCCGACAGTCCATAGTTATTGTTATCTCCGTGCATGGTTGTTTCCACGAAGAGTCTGACCCAGGACATAACACCGTCCACAGCTGAACTTTAAATCTAGTGACTTTTTCCATTATTGAGTGGTAGTCATACACCACTGACGTATGTGCTCATTTTCCTGTTCTTATTGCAGTGTAAAATTTTCAGTGCCGCACATCGGTATTCATGTTGTGTGTGCGTCTGGGTGGGTGCGTGTGCGCGCGCACGTATGCGATCGTGTGTGTGTGTGTTGTGTGTAGCCATGACTATGACTATAGTATGAGTGTGCTTTTGCTGTGACTTATGCCTGTGCAGTCTGACTGGAGTTACACCCAGTTTGTCTGCCTGCTAAATATGTTCTCTTCCAATTGTGACATCTGCCTTCGGAAGTTGTGCCGTTACGCTGTGAATATATAATTGATGGCATGTACATTGTTGTAGATGACTTGTTGTAGGCACGTAACGTTTGTCAGTTGTGGCTTAACACAGGAGTATGCTGCATGCATTCTACTGTGCTATGCCGCTACCACCAAATCACGGTGCGAGCGTCTTCCAGGACTCGGCTGCTGCGTACTCGTGCTGTGCATACCTTTGATCGCGTGGTAGTTTCTAGTCATGATGTATAATGTTTTTACTCAATTCAACACAAGGCACAGCTATCACTGCTTAGTAGTGCGATTGTCATGTAACACAATTGTGCACAATTATCATGATCGCAGCAGCATGATGTTGTTCAAGTAAGTCCTCCGAAATATCAACTCCCATGCCCTTGAGGCCATTTTTCATGCTCAGATGCAAAGTACGTAGTACTGGAAGGCTAATCAGCGAATTTCTGGCCACCGATCCAGCATACAGATGCGAGGCCATGCAGAAGACCATCCATCGAGCCCTAAAAACCACACAAAGTGCAAGAACATCTCCACCAGCTTCCAAAAAAATGTACCAGCTTCCGCTCACGAATTTATGTTTGTCGGATGGCCGAAGCCTTTTGCCAACCAGGAAAACTTCCTGAAAGCACGGGAAAACTCCAGCAACGCTTCTCTGGGAGCAGGAAATACGGCTACACAATAACATACAACAATAGTTACGACGAACAAAAAATGGCCCAATTCTCTTCGACGATCGGGACCAAAACGACGCTCGTCGTCGAGCGAGGTATCAAACGATTCGTCTTTCCTTTCTCTTCTGGAAAATCGCGAGTTACTGGTCAACAGGCTCGGAGGAAGCCGAAGATATCATCGTTTGCTACGATAAGTTTAGGAAAAATGCGTATCTCGAGCAGAATTTTCAAATGGCTCATGCTCAAAGCCGACGCCATCTTAGATGTCCGCTGACGTGATCATATGAACAGCCGTGCAGGCTGAATAGTGGCGGTCAATTCTTCAGCCTTGCAAGCTGTTGAATGGTGCAATCCCAGCACAAGTTGCTATTGCTTCTGCTGTAGCATCGCTATCATCGCCTCCGGCGATGGGCGTCAAATGGTCAAATGGTGTGTGTACGTGTGTGTGTGTGTGCATTTGTTAAAGGGGAAGTTAAGCCTAAAATCAATTTTCACCAGTTGTAGTCTTCGGGGTGCTGAGTCGAATGGTCGTGGTCCGAGGAAGCTGAGACACTCCCTACTTTAATCCCAATCAAACTCGCGCACTTCCACCGAAACTGGGTGACTGCGCCCTACTAGATGGGGATTTGTATGCAAAATGTCACTTAAAGAGCCATTTCGTTCCTATAAAAGCACGGATGACCGCGATTGGCCCATATGTTGTAGTCTTTTGGACGCTGAGTCGACTGGTTTAGGTCCGAGAAAGCTGCGATGCAGCGTTCCTCCTTTTTTCCCAATCGAACATGGTTGAACAAGCGGTCACGTGCTCCTGCGTGCCGAAGTCACCTGGTCATCGCGCCAGCAGGCGACAACTTTCACACTAAGGTTCAACTCGAGTTCAACTCGAGTGACAGGACTTCACCCAAAAAAGGTCAAACAGGCTGTAAGTTGTACCCTGCAGGCACGGTGACCAGGTGACTGGTGTACGGAGGAGCACGTGACCGCTTGTTCAAGCATGTTCGATTGGGAATAAGGGCCGAACGCTGCATCGCAGCCTTTTCGGACCAAAACAAGTCGACTCAGCTTCCAAAAGACTACAACATATGGGCCAATCGCGGTCATCCGTGCTTTTATAAGAACGAAATGGCACTTTTAGGGACATTTTGCATACAAATCCCCATCTAGTAGGGCGCAGTCACCCAGTTTCGGTGGAATTGCGCGAGTTCGATTGGGATTAAAGTAGGAAGGGAGTGTCTCAGCTTCCTCGGACCAAGACCATTCAACTCAGCACCCCGAAGACTACAACTGGTGAAAATTGATTTAGAAGACTACAACTGGTGAAATTTTGATTTTAGCCTTAACTTCCCCTTAACTAACTTGAGAAGAGAAGAATTGAGTAGATGACATACGACAAGACACAGCTTATCGCAAAGTAAGTAACGAAAGCCAATGGGACCCTCCTACCAGCGTCAAGTATGAGCAATAGGAACGGAAACGCAACCGCACTGATGTACATTATGGATTTTTTTCCCAAATCGACCATTGCAAACACTATGCTTCCCATGAAAATTCGCCGAATGGCTCCCACGATTGCTTAGAATTTTCGCAAGCTAGGAATATATTTTAAAATAGAGAGTACCATACGTTAACAAGTTATCCGTTTTGTCAACGATTACAAGCAGGATACTGTTGAGTGAAAATGTGCAACAATAAGCACATAACTGACTGATGTGATACTGACATTCAACGACCTGAATATGTAACTGTATAAACTGAATATATAATTATCTTATTTTTTTCTATGGACTGAACCGATAAATCTGCTGCGGGTATATTATTAGAATGGCACAAATTCCTAGCTACCCATTATCTACAACAGCCGCCACTGATTTGCTTAGCCTCAAAAGAAGTGGAGATCTGTTTCCAGCATGGGGACAACCCAAAACGCCAGCATAATTTGTAGCCTGGAGGTATACAGAGATAGTTGATACCACGCTTGTAGACATAAGCGGATCCATTCACAGTGTCATTCATTCTGGAGTTGACTCACATGGAGATTTTTAAACTGAAAAACTGCTTAGCGCCAGTGAGTAAGACATCCAAAACCTATGTTATGAAGTGTCATGAGAATTGATTGTACGTACCAAAGAATAGTCTGCAATAGGAGACCCAATGGTAAAGTTTTCTGGATCGCTAGGAACAGTTTGAGCAAGTGTGTAGCGCACGGATGATAAAGTGTAGAAGCTGTACAAAAAAAACACAAAAGCATAATCAAGAATCTGGTTGGACGCCTCTAGCAGTTTCGCTTTTAATGGTATGCGTTCTAATGTACATGTAGTTACACATAGTTAGCACTCTCTACATACTCTGTATATGTACTCTCATGCGTCGATTGTTGTACCCGGTCTATTCATGGATCAGCCTTATCCCCATCATATAATACTGGTCATGGGGTATTTGTGACTGCATGACTGGTTGCAGAGCGTGCGACTGCTCAATGGGCCCTTACTGCTCATAGAGCCTTACATGTATATAGTATGGATGGGCAGGTAAGCCAATCTCCAGCAACACTGCATCCAGTTCACACTGCTCTCTCAATCTGTAAATCGTCAATGATCATAGTGAGGCACCGGCAGCAAAACCACTACAAGGTGATTTTCGGTGACAATGAGTAGCTGTTTTTTTTTTTATTGCTGTCTACTAAATAAGTGATTCATGGGTCAAATTTAGAGCTCTGGCCACTTCCAAGCTGTTGTTGAAAGAACTCATTGAAAAAATGCAAAATAAAAAAAACTGTCGTCTCCGTTCTTAAAGGAACTTTCGACGGCCGCTGATGCCCGGAAATAATTACACCCGGAATATCCAGCGGCAGATGCAGAAAATATCCAGATTAAAAAATAGTCAGTAATTGTCTCTGCTCCCAAGGCAACTCGTAACGGCCGATAATAAAACTCTATCATACATGTAGTTGGCTGTGATGGAGTTGGTACTACTAGTATAGCACGTACTGCTATGAAATCTCTCAATATCCTTTATGTGCATGGTTGGCATTGGTTGTAGATTATAGCAAACGAATGCTGTGCCAGTACATTTGCACCTACATGTTGTTGTTGTTGTTGTTGTTGTTGTTGTTGTTGTTGTTGTTGTTGTTGTTGTTGTTGTTGTTGTTGTTGTTGTTGTTGTTGTTGTTGTTGTTGTTGTTGTTGTTGTTGTTGTTGTTGTTGTTGTTGTTGTGGTTGTTGTTGTTGTTGTTTGGCTTTATTTAGAGTGGAGTTCCATAACAGGCCTAAACCTAATGACAATGGTCCCACTGATAATAAGAGAAAATACACGCTACATGTTTGCTTACAACAAATGTTCTTCACAAAACATCCTGCATTAAGTTTAGTTTAGTTCAGCTAGGTCGACTTCCGCATCTCAGCAACTCAACTAGCTGTGGTAGAGTACTAGATCTTACATTGCAATCCCTTCATAGCTGTTCCCACCAGCACTTTGTATCATTGCCCATTTCAATCGAATCGACTGGGCTGCCTTCACCAATGGGCTGTCATGTGAACAAGACCTAGTCACTCTCACCTGTGTCTTCTTGTTGTCGACTATTTTTCAACAGTAAAGCTACGCTGGAGATACCACCGCCAATAATCTAGTCACACGTGCTCCAACAACCATGTTACTTGATATTCCTCTCTCTTTCTCCTTCTCTCCCTATCCCTCTCTCTCTCTTTCTTTCTCCCTCTCTATCTCTCTCTCCCTCTCTTTCACTCTCTCTTTCACTCTCCCTCTTTCACTCTCTCTTTCACTCTCTCTTTCACTCTCTCTTTCACTCTCTCCCCCTCTTTCACTCTCTCTCTTTCACTCTCTCTCTTTCACTCTCTCTCTTTCACTCTCTCTCTCTCTCTCTCTCTTTCACTCTCTCTCTTTCACTCTCTCTCTTTCACTTTCACTCTTTCACTCTCTCTCTCTTTCACTCTCTCTCTTTCACTCTCTCTCTTTCACTCTCTCTCTCTCTCTTTCACTCTCTCTCTCTCTTTCACTCTCTCTCTCTTTCACTCTCTCTCTCTCTCTCTTTCACTCTCTCTCTCTTTCACTCTCTCTCTCTCTCTTTCACTCTCTCTCTCTTTCACTCTCTCTCTCTCTTTTTCACTCTCTCTCTCTTTCACTCTATCTCTTTCACTCTCTCTCTTTCACTCTCTCTCTCTCTCTCTCTCTCTCTCTCTCTCTCTCTCTCTCTCTCTCTCTCTCTCTCTCTCTCTCTCTCTCTCTCTCTCTCTCTCTCTCTCTCTCTCTCTCTCTCTCTCTCTCTCTCTCTCTCTCTCTCTCTCTCTCTCTCTCTCTCTCTCTCTCTCTCTCTCTCTCTCTCTCTCTCTCTCTCTCTCTCTCTCTGTCTGTCTCTCTGTCTCTCTCTCTCTGTCTCTCTCTGTCTGTCTCTGTGTCTCTCTCTGTCTGTCTCCCTCCCTCCCTCCCTCCTCTCTCTCTCTCTCTCTCTCTCTCTCTCTCTCTCTCTCTCTCAGACCAGATATAATTCTGTGCTCTACGAGTCGTAGGATTGTATTCTGGATGGAGTTGACAGATTGTGCTGAGGACAGATTCAGTGTCAGTAACTCGCGGAAGGACAGGCGGTATGCGGATCTGGCCGATCAATGCCGAGCAAACGGGTGGCAGGTCGTTTCTTTTTTGGTTGAGGTAGGTGTGCGTGGTTTCATCCCGGACTCTCTTCGGAGGGCTCTGAAAGCGCTTGCGTTTTCCAATCGCAGAATAAACTTTATTTGTAATTTGTGCAGTAAGACGTCTCAGCGAAGCAGCTACATCATCTGGTTGCGGCGTCAACAAAAACACTGGTCGGAAGATCCACTTTTCTGAGGTACTGTATGTGGGACTCCGTTTATTGAGGTGCGTTGAAATTTATTCTCTTTATCTTATTCTTTCTTTTCTATCATTTCCCCCTATGAGTCCCTATCAGTTGCTGTAACACCTTGAGTGGAGAGCGCTTGCTCGAGCGTTGAACCCGGGTTCTTAATCCACCATACCCAGTTCGCAAGGCTGGGCGGGGTTGTGAGCTTTCATTTAATCTTTTCCTATTATTTCTTATTATTTCTACTTTTCATCTCATTACAAAATTCTGCGTATTTTTTCTCCATCTGCGCATAAAATCTAGACTGACAACCTGCTTGTTAATTTTAAATCATGCACCTGCTTTCAGGCGTAAAAACCCTGTTGTAGAGGTTTCAGTCCTCATTTGTTAGACTTACCTGTTTTTATAAATGTAACTTAATCTGCGTCTCTCTCTGTCTCTCTCTGTCTCTCTGTGTGTCTCTCTGTGTCTCTCTTTCTCTGTCTGTCTATGTCTGTCTCCGTCTCTCTGTTTGTCTGTCTCTGTCTGTCTCTTGTCTGTCTGTCTGTCTGTCTGTCTGTCTGTCTGTCTGTCTGTCTGTCTGTCTGTCTGTCTGTCTGTCTGTCTGTCTGTCTGTCTGTCTGTCTCTGTCTCTGTCTGTCCGTCCGTCCGTCCGTCCGTCTGCCTCTGTCTCTGCCTGTCTGTTTGCCTGTTTGTCTATCTGTCTGTCTGTCAGAGAGTTAGAGAGTTAGAGAGCTAGAGAGATAGAGAGGTAGAGAGATAGAGAGATAGAGAGGTAGAGAGATAGAGAGGTAGAGAGATAGAGAGATAGACAGATAGACAGATAGACAGATAGAGAGATAGACAGATAGACAGATAGACACTCTATCTCTCTAACTATCTATCTCCCCCCCCCCTCTCTCTCTCTCTCTCTCTCTCTCTCTCTCTCTCTTCCCCCCCCCCCCGCCTCTATTGCTCTCTCTGTGCGGGTAAGTCAACAAACTCTCTTCTCGTAATTATCCATCACCAAAATTCTTCTTCTATCGCTGAGCAAATCAGTAAAATCATGTGCACAAGTTATTCACAATTCCTATTAGCAAATAGACGTTAGGAACCACTATAATCTTTCATCCTGCCAATTCGAAATCGGCACCTGCATTGCAATCCATGACAACTTACGTCTCTGTTGTCAAAACATTTGTCAACGCTGCAAGAGTTATTGCTGGACCTCCATTCTCAGTAAAAAGAGTGGGCGTTGATGGGACTGTGATAGCCTGTGTATTTGGAAAAAGAAGAAAATACCAGGCATCCCCATGGTGATGGAGACAAGGACTCAGATTGCTTTGCACAGGACTATGACAAAACAGACTGGGGACAGAATGTACATGTACATCTTAAACACTCTTGTTTTCGCATTGGTTAAATGAGCTTTACGAGGTGTTTTCCGTACACTCCTGCAGGAATAAGAAAGGGTTTGCTCCCCTAACTGGAGCTCGCGCTATTCCGCCGACTTTACTTGACACTTGACTGACTCACGACTGCCATCCAGAGCACACGAGAAGTCCATCGAACCTTCGACTCGGCAAACCTGCAAGAAAGCACCACTCCCTGCTCAATACACAAAGTTTCGGGGAATTCACCCCAGTGGGGGGGGGGGGGGGGAGCAAACCCTTTCTTACAAATCATCGCCGAAGTCGCAACCACTACTTCGTCCTGTAGGAATGTCGTGTTTGTTTAGGACTGTACTGGTCATCAATCACAGACATCTGTTTATGGTCTACCTGTTGTTCTTCTGAATATAACTGATTAATATAGCTACAAGGTGTGCATAACTAGACTCGGGTGGAGAGCCCAGGATTAATTTATAAAAAGAAAAGAGGACCAAAGAGCTATAAGTTACACTATAATATCCACTAACACCACCAGTTACTTTACAATCAGCTCATGCGATAACATTGCATGACACTGACCAACGGTACTGGCTGTTTGGAGTGCGCATCCGAGATGTGCTAGAGCTGATTGCCAGTTAGGTGTAGAACGTCGGTACCGTTGGTCAGTGTCGTGCAATGTTATCGCATGAGCTGATTGTAAAGTAACTGGTGGTGTTAGTGGATATTATAGTGTAACTTATAGCTCTTTGGTCCTCTTTTCTTCTTACAGCTACAAGGACGACTAATTGCACTGTAAGCATTTCCTATATGTCGACATGTATGTGTAAACTGTTTTACGATGATTGCAAGGCACATAACGAAAGGGAAAGAGAGGATTTGTTCAGAACTGTTTTCTTGTTACATTCATCGGTGAATCTACGTAACAATGGAATGGGGACTGCTTGAAACTAATCTTATATGGACAAATAAAAGTGAAAGAATGGAAAAAAAGAGCGAAACAAAAAGGTGATTGTAGTACATGTATTCAGCGGGGGACAATTTCAGCAGGTAACAACATGCATGTGTGAATCACCAGCAAAACAAAGCAAAACGAAGGAAAACCTGAACAGACGGAAGGAAGTGTGAACGGACGGGGGGGGGGGGGGGGGCAATTACACTCACCACACTCGCACCAAACTACTACGCAAACAATTTGAGGGTGATAACACTTTCCTTCTGTACACACATACATGTTGACATATAGGAAATGCTTACAGTGCCATTAGTGGTCCTTGTAGCTATATTAAAACTGCTGTCTCCGAAATGATTGTTTGATTATAAAATTAATTTAATATAGAAGAGAGATTGGAAGCTTTGTCACAACTCTGAGTTTCATGCATTACTATAAATATAACATTCCTTTTACTTTCCCTGCCAACTCTGTCACTGTCTGCAGCCATCACAACACACTGTGCTTAATGTAAAACACTCAAATCCTGTTATATCTGCCAAAACCTGACTTGTCCTCATTAAAACGTCCCTACAGTTCGAACAAGATACTGGTAATCTGCAAAAGGTCTTAAAGAGCCAACTGGTGCTGTAAAAATATATTATGATTCAAATACACACTAAGCCTATCCCGGGTGGTAGTATAAACATGATTATTCCCGTAGCTATGCAGAAGACGTTACTTCAGTAAGGTCTGGCGCTAGCCAGGGTCCACACAGCTTTAATTTGGTATTTGTGTGTTTGTTTGTGTCACGCCTGGCGCTATCCCGTATCTGTCCCGTACCGTACCGTACCATCAAACACAGCTGGCCACATACAGCTGGCCGCAATATTCAAATAGGGCTTTCAAACGCAAGATCATAACGTGAAGCAACTTGGAAGAATGGGTATGAATGCGAAGTGTATGGGGGAATGCATGTAGGGCGATAGTGCGGGTTCGAATCCCAGGATATGCCTGAAAAAAAAAGGAAAATTGAAAAATTTATAACATCCCTATGCTTTTTTTGCCGTCATCAAGGCGGTAGACGGTGTCGTATTACCCTCGATCGTACCTGTCCCGTACCTATCCCGTACCGTACCGTACCATCAAAGACGGCTGGCCACAATGCATATTCAAATAGGGCTTGCAAAAGCAAGATCATAACGTGAAGCAACTTGGAAGAATTACAGTCCATTTCAAAACTATAGACGCATAGTGTTTTGCAAAATTCGATGGGATTTATTTAAATATTTTTAGTTTTTTCTCAAGATTCCGTCTCTGCATCGCTTCACAATTCTGGCTATATACTTTGTTTTCGCTACAATTGAAGTTTATTTTTCGGCCAGGTTTTCCGGTTTTACATGTAATTCCTGTTTTGAAGGGTTTGACCAGTTTGTTTCGGATTTTTGCTCTTGCTGAGACAGTGCTGCGCCCAGACCATCGCGGGTGCATTTTTGTACGCGTCCTGGTAGCCTCGTGGTTTCGATCCGTGATTTCCAGTACAAGTGTGGGGCATTCGAATCTCATCACGCCTCCTGCCTTTTTTTCTCTTCTTTTCTGCATGTATTGGATCTTGTTGGGTGAAATACAGTAGAGATGATAATTATATTTTCTCTTTTTGATTTGATTTGAGCCTCCCTGTTCCCTTCGCCTGACACAACGAGTGACAGTGGTTTCACTCACGCCAGTTGCAAGGTGAGTTCGACGACGAGGATTTCGGATACTCAAGCGTCAATCAAAATCCAGCTCTTGTTCGAAGAAACAATGAACACGACTAATCATATTTTTCTCGGCATCACTGAGATTCTTACGGGCCTTGGAAGCCATTACAGTCAGGCACTCTGAAAATGCAAACAAGAAGAAGATTCATTTGAGCCTTTCATTTCTTTTGAGACTTTCCTCACACCTTTTCATTTGCGACTTTGCGTGTTTTGCATCTTTTGTATTTCCCGTGGCGACGAAGAAAAACCTGAAAAACACATCTGAAAACCAGAAAACACTCATGCAAAACTCACGGCTGTCGTGCGCTACAATACGTACGGCTCGTACGTATGAGTTCACGCGTCTATAGTTTTGAAATGGACTGTAGTATGTATGCGAAGTGTATCGGGGGATGCATGCAGGGCGCGCGATAGTGCGGGTTCGAATCCCAGGTTATGTCTTTTAAAAAAGGAATTTTTTTAGGAATTTATAACATTTTTTAAGAATTTATAACATCCCTATGCTTTTTTTTGTCTAGGTCATCAAGGCAAAAAGCATAGCGTAGGGACCTGAGCTTCCAAGCTCTCTCGTTAAGAAAATTGAAGAACAGTCACTCTGCACATCCAGGCATGGCACCTTCAACTTCGTCTTAATCTGCTGCGCTAAAGTACCAGACCTGTTTTCCTCGCCTCTCCTGCAACCCTAGTTTTCACTCTTGTATATCGCAATGCCCTCATTCTTGTCATCCTTGACTGATCCTATTATTTTTTTCCAGCCGAGCGCAGTGAGATAGGCGAGAACTGATTTCTCGCACAGCATTTTTTCGTTCGCAAATGCGGTATCTGATATGTTGCTTCTTTGCTGGCTTCTTGAGTCAGGTTTGAGTCTCGCCAGTGTCCCTACCCTCCCACCCCTCATTTCTGTCCATCCTGATCTTGATTTGTCCAACCTTCTGCTATGATGTGCTTTGCAATGCTTTCATGATGCCACATCGCCATTGGGTACGCCTGCTTGTTTCCCTCACTACTCCGTCCGCCGGCGCGACGGTTTTTTCCCCGCCTGGCTCGGTTCAGGTAAATTCATCAGACGTTCACAAGTGGTTCTGCATCATGGCCTATTCCTCCAATCCGCATGTAGAGGGGACGGTTCGATACCGGAACGGTTTGACAGCCACATTCGTACAGACCCAAACCGATCATCAGCGTGGATTGTTCACTCGAAATATATTTGTGGAAGGAAACTGGCATATGGAAGTTTGCTCTGAGGCCAGAGTCAATCAAACTGAGCTATTCCTTTGTGTTGGCCCATTGCTGCCCAATTTTTCGCTTCAGATCAGGGGTGGCTCCAAATCGGAAAGGTTTTAGAGTGCACGTCAAATTCACTCTGAGTTCTGAAATTAGGTAATTACTATCGCTCCACGACGGCCAGTACAGAGCAACAATAAGTCTTGTGTATGCTTCCATAAGTTTTCATTGGTATACTGTGCTTTATTGGCGAGAGGCGAGCTGCTGTTTACCTGCGACAAGAAGTTGATTTTTTGAAAGACGTAAAACTCAAGTCGCAGTGCGAAGCAGCACATCAAAAACTCACCTGCTTGGTATGGCGCTTCTGTTCATCGCAGAGCCATGAATTTTTGGCTCGGAGTAAAACACATCGTTGTCTCACTGTGACATATGTTTTCTAATCACCAAGAGAGAAAGTGAATATTGAGTCCATTCCGGTTTCGACATATCTCCTATTTGAAACCGTCTCCTCTACATCTTTCTCTTCTTCATTCTAGACATTCCGTTCTCAGGTTCGCTCCACGCAATTACGTATGTAAAACATTTACTATGCCATTGTGCTTTTTCTTGGTTTTGGCCATAAATGGGCAAAAACTAAAAAACTAATTTAACTTTTTTTGTAATCCCCCATGGAATGGTGTTGAAAATTGTGTTTTGGAAGTCAATTTCTCCGTAAAGCGAGTCCTAAGGATTTCGGCCATTTTGTCCCAAAAGCACTGAATTGGGAAAACCGTGTAAATCCAGGCCGTTTGACTCCACTTGCAGCAGTATATTTTGCGGTTCGAACCCCAGTTGAGGTACCTTTCTGTGACCCTTTTTCAAATTTCGTGGCATTGCGCCGGGTACATCAAAATCACCAAAATCACAGAACAGGCGAGCTCACCAGATCTAGAGCTTACTAAGCATCGTTTCATGAATGGACTATAGGACCACCGGAGTCGTTACTCTTAACTAATCTCTGGGATGTCAACACAAACAAATTCACTTCGCACTTCTATTAGATAGCATTACTCAGACATCACACGATGTTGACCCATCTGCTGGCGCCCAGCTGCAGGAGAACAAACGGGAAGATCGGGCCACGTGACCTGCTGCACTTGCAGTTACAAGCCAAAGCATACCTGTTTTTGCAGTAAGGTCAAACAAATTCTTACCGTTCGTATATTGGCAAAAAACCAGAATTTGATTCATAACAGATATTTTCTTACCGGAGTTCGCTCTGGGATGGGAACCAACGTAAGTTGAGGTCCACTCGTGCAAGGTGGACCGCTTGGAAGAGACCCATCCTGTACTTGAATAGTCAGAGCACGAGTCAAACCACCTAATCCATTGAACTCATTGTTGGGAAGCAGCACAGCAACCCTGTAGGAAGAACACACATCATTGGAGTGTGAGCAAGTACACTGGTGGGAGAAAGTAGGTACTAGTACGTGCGAAATTAAAGTACCCAGAACTTCAAGTAGATATACTAGTATGTAGAATCTTCTATTTTTTACCACACATGCAGTTCCAGTCAGTCAAATTTGATTAAAAACATAGCAGATGTTGCGAGGTTTAATTTAGGGGTCGTTGCCACGACAAAATCGGACTTATTCGACCCTGGGCTAATGGTAAGCCCAGTATTTCAGATCTCTCGTTTACATGATTCGGCAGGCTTATTAAGCATGCCCCGACTGTAGTAGTAGTAGTAGTAGTAGTAGTAGTATTTTTTTATTTTCCATCGGAAGCCTCAACAGTGATGAACACAACTCTTAAGAGGGCCGATAACAGAGTAGAGGGGTGTGGGGTGAGAAAAAATAATAAAAATAATAAGAGATATTTAAACTAAACTAAACTGATACTTGGAACAATAAAGCAGCAGTAAGCAGTAAGCAGTAAACACAGGTATACAATACAAGCGATGCAGATCAATGAGGCCGTTTGCTGAAAAGAAGATCAAAATACTTCTGAAAAGACGCTGCGTCTTTAAGCATGGTCATAATGGGATAATGCAAGAATTAAAGAGATGTTTTTAAAAAGGAATTTAAACTAGGAACGCAGTAAACACAGTTATACAATACAGGCGGTGCAGATCAATGAGGGAGTTTGCTGAAAAGAAGATCAAAATACTTCTGAAAAGACGCTGCGTCTTTTAGCATGGTCTGAAGGTGCTTAGCAAATGTAGTGCGGTGCTGGGTGCGCCACTCCACAGGCAAAGAATTAAAGAACAGGGCAGCACGATTTGAAAAGGAATTGACACCGTCAGTCGTCCGGAATTTAGATATTGCAATAGCAGCATTAAAAGAGCTTCTTGTTGTCCTAGGGCCGGTTGAAACTTGAGGGAAAAGGTCCGTCAGATTTGGGAGAGGGAAAACGACATGATTAACATGGATAAATTTAGCAATGCTACGAATAAGGTAATGTTCAAACGGATCAATCGACAATCTAGCTAACAGCGGCATGACGTCATCTTGTAGTTTCGAGCCACAAGCAGCGCGTACAGAACGACGATAAACGGACGAGAGTCGCTGTCGGTCCTTGGCGGATAGTTTCATTGCAAAGCAAGAGCAGCAGTATAATAAGTCAGGCAGGATAACAGAGAGGATAAACTGCCGTGTTGCCTTCAAACTTAGTTGCCGAAAACACCGTCGAAGAGCACCAATTTTCGTGCAAGTCTTCCTAACGATAAAGTCTATGTGACCAGACCAAGAAACATCACTGTCTACAATGACTCCCAGGATTCTCGTGCTAGACACTTGAGTCAGAGGCTGTTGGTTAAAAACGATTGGAGTTGAGAAGACTTAGAAATCATCAAAGTTACAGTCTTTGTTGTATTAATGCGCAGCCCAAGCTCGTCTAGATCCACAGAAATTGCAGATAACGAATCAGTAACGGTAGCGACGGCCTCAGCTTGTGTGCGTCTGCTGGCATACAACGTCATGTCGTCAGCGAACATCGGGAGCTTGCAAGAAAAGGCCTCTGCTGTCAATGGGAGCTTCCGTACATAAATGTTAAAAAGAACCGGACCCAGAATGGTGCCCTGTGGCACGCCACTAGTGATTGCCACCAACGGAGATGTTCCAGTGTGGGTAACCACCCGCTGTTGTCTGGCACAAAGGTATGATCGGAACCAGGCCATGGCCGCTCCCGAAATACCGACAGCTGCGAGAGCAAGAAGAAGCTGCTGATGCTTCACCATATCGAACGCTTTTTTCAAATCAATACAGACAACCGCCGTATGCAGTCCAGCGTCGCGCGAGACAAGCCAGTCGTTCGTAACCTTGGTGAGAAGCTGTCCGGTAGAACGGTGCTTCCGAAAGCCAAACTGGTCCACATGGAATGGGCAACGATCATTAAAAAAAAGATGTATACGAGAAAACACAAGTCCCTCCAGGAGCTTGGCTAGGATAGATGTTAAAGACACTGGGCGGTAGTTAGAAGGGCAGTCGCGGGGGCCTTGAGTTGACTTCAGAATTGGTGTAATGTTTGCAATTTTGAACAAGGATGGGAATTGACCAGACGAGAGGGAAGTGTTGAATAAGATAGCAAGTGATAGAGCAATTACGTCTTTTGATATTTTAAGTAGACACGGAAGAATGCCGTCCGGTCCAGGGGCTTTATTACTTTGGAGGTCACCGATCCGAAGCTTCACCTCTGCGACTGTAACGGCTGAAAACGTACTAAGGTCGTCGGATTTAGCAGGTCCCATTGGGAGCTTGTAATTCGCTTCCTTATCTGTGACAATCGAGTGAAAATAGTCGTTCAATCGCTCAGGTGGGATGGTAACCGTTTGCTTCGGAGAGGAACGCTTTGTGATCATATTCAAGGCTTTCCAGAACTGCCGAGGCTCCCGACTGTACTAGCTGTACTCCAGACCCCAAGCTTATTGTACACCTTGGGCTAATTTTCTGATGTGACCGGTCAAGAACATCATTAAAGGGGAAGTGCATCGATTTTTTTTTTTCAAGTAAGGCTCAGATGAAAGACAATTTGATATCGGTTGCGATGGTATATCTCTCGCCTCCGCACGATGTTGCAAACTTGCCATATCGCCGATTTTCTGATTGCGTTTCCATGGCGACTACAGGTGATGACACACATTCTGCTTAGCTCCGAGAGAGAGAAGGTCGATCACTGCAGAATTGTGTCATTTTCAGTTGTCTTATTGTAATCGCGAAGTGAAAGAAGTGCTGCATTCAACGCTGTTAGCGCCGTGAACTGTTTATTAGTACCGTATTTTACCGGTTGTAAGTCGACCCCGGTTATCGGTCGACCCCCGTATCTGGAGGTCTCAATTCTGAGTTTTAAAAGTGTTCACCCAAAGAAGCACTACTAACCACGTCCTGCTGCTAACACATCAACAAATCATGTAAACATTCCTTATTGGAGGGTGTAACGTCCCAATCCTTTAAAAAGGCCAATAAACTGGCAAAAATGTGTAAACATGCTGCACTCGTGCATGCAGTGCAGGTCATTTTTTGTACTTGCAAGTAAGATACTGGTAGTTCCCGGTTATAAGTCGAATCCCGGTTGTAAGTCGACCCCCGCCCTTTCTCCTTCTATTTTAAGTCGTAAAAGGTCGACTTACAACCGGAAAAATACGGTAGTCCTCTCCGTTGTGTACTGGGACGTGACACCGACAAGGGAAAGCTGGAGTGCGGAGACGTTAGCTCGCAAGCGAAAATCGTGACGAACCAATTGCTGAAATCTTGGTTGGGACAAATCAAACGTTTTTTCTTGCAGATTTTAGTTTTTTGTCTCCAATAAAGTTATTCAGTTGACAGTTTTTGTCATATTTTCATTATTTTTTCTTTTCGATATTTTCCAGTATTGCCTTGTTCCCTTCCTAAAGATCCACTGCCCTCCTGGATCGCGTGATAAAGTTCTACATTCTGCTCAAACTAAATTTTGAATTTGTAGTTGTCCAAGAGGATAGTGTCTAGTTCTGGTGAGCTACTTTATCACGCAGAAAATCACACCCTGCTAACGAACACCATGCCATCACAAACTTCAGCGGCCGTACCTCGCTCGCCATTGAGAGCAGCATCGCCCCAGAAGCGCTGTCGGACGGTTCCGTAAGGTCGCGCGCACGCCACGCTGTGCTGCCGTCACTCAGATAGAAAGTCGATGGCCTAAATTCCGTCTTTGGGAGACTGTTGACATGGAGATCACTCTCCATGTCGTCCCCACCATCAGTATGATCAGATTATTCCAGGGATATCGCGACGACGTTGCCTTCAGCAGCTGGAGCTCCCGATATCTAAGTGCGAATTTACTTGTGCGTTCCGCTCCGCAATTTCAAATTTGCTTGCATCGGCGGCTGGAACGAAGTATTTAACAATCTGTCGTCGGTCTCAGAGCGAAGGATTTCTAGTTCCTTGTCAGAGAAGTCATCCAAGGACGAAAGTAACTCACTGTGCATGAGGAAATGCACATGACGAAGTTTTGACGGAGCCAGACGGCATTGTTGGCGCGCGCGTGTATTTCCGTAAGTTTACAATCGCGCAGTTCTCAATGAAATCAAATGGGACACGCGTAGATTTTTTCAGCTACAGAGAGTATCATACCTAGGCTGTGTGAGTGCCACGGGAAATCCCCGTGGGCTGATGCTTCCTGTCATGCCATGCATGGTTTTGACTGCGAGTTGAATACATCGATATTGACGTACTCAGTGTATGTAACGGATTTAAAAGGTATTGATCCTATAATCGTGTCAGTAGACACCAGGTGGATAATAGGGAGGTTTTGCTCTACGTAATTATGTACGAAAATAGCGTAGGAACTGCACGTAATATTCATGAGGAATATATCCGCGTAGTTGGGTTTCGTTCTATGTGATTTCTCCATGTCTGCTAAGCATGCCTTGTTGCGTTGGAGACGCGTTGGCTGCATGCGCCCTTCGCATGCACCACGAACCTAAACCACGTTCTTCATATTCTTTTCCACGTGTTGTGTACCTTGTGTTTCGCGTGGCTTGAGCGTTGCCATGGGTTAATCAGGGTAGGGAAGCGCTTTCCTACGGATATCCATAGAGAGATTTGCATATGAAAGTTGCCCTCGCTCCCCGGCGCTTACGATGTACGGATTTTCATGTATAATTATGTCCCTATTCATTGCATCACAGCTTACATCAGAAGACTCAGTGCAGCCTCATATACAGCTACATGAGCTGTGCCAGTGATGGAGACCATGTTTCCGGTTCCTCCACTAGTGAGCGGCATTGGAAGGGTTCCAGTCTGGTAGACAACATCAGGTCCACCGGAAAGCTGCACAGCAATAGAAAGAGCACAGCGTCATTCTCTGTTGCTATGGCTACTATACATCATCCAGTGACGAGTACAAGGAAATTTGGCACATCCAACCTGCCACTGACTATACAATTGTGTTAAGAAGCACAACAAACTTAGGTCAACATGTCTGGTTATACCAAGGTAACAGATGCGCCGCTTTATGGCGAGGGTGATATGGTTGATCCTCTAGGTTTATTGGGGTCAAATTGCACATCGTTCCGGGTACTAGTCTTTAGGTCACCTCCAGAAATGCAGGCACTCCCTTATGCGTAGATAAACATGAAACACGTTTTGAGTGATACGGCTAGGCTTCAGAATCGAAAAACAGATTATTGTTAATCAAGTGTGGTGTATCCAACAATAGTTCACTTTTAAAAGAGGATATAGGAAACAGGTAGCGTAAAAATGTAGCCTTTCCAAGGAAACCAAAATGTAGCCTTTCCAAGGAAACCAAAAGCGAATGAAAAACCAAAAACGCCGTACTTTCAGCTGACAACATGCCACATGTCAGTTTCATGGTAAGGGAGTGCAGGCCAAGAAAGAGAGCTGCCAAGATCACACAGGCAGTGGCGGGTAGTGCTAGAAAAATTATCCGATTCTGGTCGAATTTCCAGAACCAGACAAAGACCAGAGAAAGGACAGGAAACTGTGACTTCTGCCCTTCTTCTTTGTTAGAATACCAGACTTTTAAAAATATACCAGAAAGGTCCCAACTGCTGCCAGTTTTTCTGCCAGCAGTATGCACCAAGGGCTATATGTTGGACTCAGTAGAGCGTCCAGCCCCTATATGATGTCCAACCCCTATATAGAGTCCATTGGTCCAAAATCCACTGTACAGAGTCCAAACTTGGAATCAACTGTGAGCTCAAAGTTTAGATGGACATCACTCCCTGTATAGAGTCCAGCCAATTGGCTTCACCCCTATATAGAGTCCATTGGTCCAAAATCAACTGTACGGAGTCCAAACTTTGAAATCAACTATAAAGATTAAAGATTCTTTATGTGGACAACACTCTGTATAAAGTCCAGCCAATTAAGCATCCCCTAACGAGTTCGAAATTAGACATAGGATCTGCTGTAAGCAGTGAATATTAACCAGAAAACGGCCTCTCCCTTTAATCCTTTACATCATTCACTTCTCAAGAAAAAAATATGTATTGAGGCGCCGCTGCAGCCACTTCATTACATGAAAAAGCCTACAAACACCATCCTCAAATCAAGTGGTCTCTTCGCAGACGCTGCAAATTAAAATATCTCAATCATGTAGTGTTGCCAAATTATTGTGCACGCACACACACATGCACACCCCCACACAACGCCAAGAAAATACCTAGAAAAAAACAAGAATCGAAAGAGAATAATGGAGAGCCCAGGATTAATTATTTGTTTTCAAATTATTGCGCGCGCGCGCGCGCACACACACACACACACAAACTTACACAACGCCAAGAAAACACCAAGAAAAGAGTAGAGACACAATACACGCGCAACTCCAACAGCCATACAAACGTCCACCCATTTACACGTAAAGTCAAGAGGGATAACAAATAATTATACGAAACAAATGCATACAGGGACGGGTACACGCACGTTTACATACACGTAGTAGTGTAAGAGAGTAACATAGTGCAGCGGTCAGCATAATACTAGCACATGCTGAGAGTGCAATAGCAAGCTTCACCCTTGCTCATGGCCATGCAAATGTTCAGCAGCACTCAGTTCCGCAAGCTTCTGAAGATCAGCACACCTGCAACAAATAGACAGCACACGGATACGCTTATTACCGTAATGATGCATGGGAGCACACAACAACCAAGTTCTCAACGAATGTGATGCTCAATGAAAATCAAACCACTCAAAGACCTGTGAACAGGTGACGGTGGGGACAATAATCTATTAGTAATACGAGGAATAAGATCGTTTGTGCACACTCAAGACGCACAGACACACCAACATCACAATGTCATGTTCGTGACATCAAAACGGTTACTTCAGGGAATACGAGTATTAGCTTGAGAAGCTTTTTCTTGTCATTGGCAAACAAGCAATCCTCCTACTACTACTAGTACACTGGCACTGCGTTTGTGGATCCCATTGTATTTGACATCATACTAGAGGAAGAGTGTCGTGGAGTTTCACATAATTATCACAGGGATAAAAATACATTTCTCATGAAATAATTATAATAATTGATGATAGCTAGACGATCGTATACGATTGATGCAAAGTCCTTGCAGTCCTTGAGAACTATTACGAAGTGGTTGATTACTTTTAGGGCATTCATTCAAGCAACATCAAACAAACGCGATACGCTCCTTGAAAATGGAAAAAAAATTCAAGCATAACGACAGAACAGCAGACCAATCGAAACGAGTAAAAGCTTCCTTACCTCAGTCTTCGTCCTGCCGTGTAGTTGGACAGCCTTTTGACACGGTGGTACAGGCAGCTCTTGTCCAGTCAAACAGGGGTATCCTTGTGGCGTCGAACGAAAGAGAGTGTCAGTGTATCTGACTCGTCAAATTGGAACTGTGCTGAACATTTCTCTTTCTCCGTTTCTGCTTTCATCCCTCGCTCTGATGAAACCGTTCAAACGTCTTACTGGCAGCAATGGCCAGCCAAACAGGGAATCCTTGTGGCGTCGAACGAAAGAGAGTGTCAGTGTACCTGACTCGTCAGATTTGAACTGTGCTGAACTTTTCTCGTTCTGCAATTTCTGCTTTCATCCCGCGCACTGATGAAACGTCTTCAGAGAACCACAAGACGCTTTCCAGATTTGATTTTGAACGTCTCCTTATCCTCCTTGGTTACCTCGAGACAGATTACTGTCAGCAACTGCACAGCAGAACTGGCAGCTAGCCATGGCTGAAGTGAAGAAAGGAATGCGCTGCCACGAGGCAAGCAAAACTGAAAATGTGCTTGTTCTCTTTCGGGCACAACACGTACACACAGGACGGCGTGACTGGATAAACTGGACTCCTGGACTGTGAATAGGGGACTTGTAGAAAAAGTGTACTCCTTATAGGGGATTGCGCGGCAGGATGAAGCTGATCAAAACTGAGTGGACTCCTGGACTCTGTATAGTGGATTTGGACCAATGGACTCTATATAGGGTGCTGGACATCATATAGTGCATGGACTCTATACTGAGTCCTACATATATCACTCATATCAATCAATATTCAATCATAGGCTCCACAGTCTTCTAAGGCCATGTAGCCCAGGGATGGTTACCACGCTGGTGCAGCTGTAGTACACACAGGGCCTGGTGAAGCCATTCCACAGTACCTAGGCTCACAAAAGGAGCATGTGATTGCAATGCCATTGAAAAAGTAAGCGACTTACCGACACCTGGGTAGCTTGTTGTCCTACTTGCACATCCGCATCAGTAACTGTACAGTTCACAGCTTCAACAAAGGCAGTCTGAGGAGCTTCGACATCAATCACTCTCTGCATAGACAAATAGAGCAGCATCAAATATAATTCGAAAACGCCATCCAAATTGTAAAGGACTGGGGGAAGACTTGATCCAAAACCACACCCAACCTCAATGTGGTCCGGCAGTCACGCAAAAGTTCCAATTTGCGCAGTAAAATTTAATTTACACTCATGGCTTTTGCCTCTCTGATGGATGACACGGTTAACATTGCACCAGCATACATGTATAGACACACCTTGTGGTATGCAACTGTTTAGTAAAGAGTCTTTACCTTTGCATGCAAATCAAATACATGAAGGGTTGAATCTTTGTTGAAAAGTCACATTAAGCAGTATGAATCACTGGTGGCAACTTTGGCAAAACTTACATTGATGCAAAAACAATGAACAGAGACACACGACCGTGATGTTTACCAACTTACGGCATTTGTTGTGCATGCGATCTGAGGCCGCTTGTCGTTGACATAGATCGTTCCCACGCAAAGCTCGCTTGGAGGACTGACGTTCACACCATCGTTTAAAGTGACTTCAAAGCTGCAGACGAACAAAAGTACGTTAGAACAACAACATTTTACAGTTCGTGCGAGAGCCACGCAGACCGACTGGTCTGCCTCCACAGGAATGCCGCCGCTCTCAAGGAACAAGACAGTGATGTTACTGCTCTCCAGTACTACATTTGTAAATGCCCATTAGATCGGGAGGAATACGGTGTGTGGAGTGGAAGCAGGCAAACGGGTAATTGTGCACTTCGATCACAAAGAGTGTACGTCACAAGTAATTCTACTGACGTACTGAGTCCGATATAGCGGTACGTATGCTCACACAGTACTCAATGCTGAAAAGGGCATAGCTTCCTTATTAACATTTGCAATAAAGCCTTGTACTACCTTATTTGTATTAAACCGGTAAAAATGTTTCCACAGAGATGGGGCACTTTCTAGAATTGACTTGCACAAAAGGAAATCATCAGAAGGAATTGGCACTACTCAATGCAGCCACAGAAGAGATGGGTCACAGACTGAGGGCATTTGTTACAGACTAGACGGGGCCTAACATCAATCACCACCAATGCAGCCGACAATACCAAAGTGAAGCAGACCACTGTCCAACGTTCATCTTGTGTTCATGTGACTGGTGGCAGTACTTGTACATGTTTACATTCAGTGCTTCTATGTTTGGTCCGTCGTCACTGTATATCATGATTCTCGTTTGTTAGGCATCCCCAAGATGTTGGCACCCTCATGCTCCCTTCTACTACCCATATTCGGCACAGGAGCTGAAGGGGAACAAGGTATATTGGCTTCCGTATGAGAACGGTACTATAACTTATTGTATAGTCAAACTATTGCTGAGTTTAGTCTCCCTTAGGCAGCCTAATGTTAAGCGGCAATGGTTGCGGACGTGTCACTGTAATCTTCTTGGGGTTATCAAACTCACCTTTCAGGAAGATATTCAGTTCGGACACAACAGCACCTTCTCCAAACTGAAGTCTTGTTTGGGCGGTAGAGAAGAACATGCAGGCTTCCTGCACATCCTTACCCAGGGGGAAACCCTTGCTTACTCCAAAAATGATCATACAAACAATTCGCCTCCGAGCTAATGCTTGTTCTGTTGTTGCACACTTACCAACGCTCAAAGCGAGGCTCATCGCGATTGTCGAAGATAGTCACAAATACAAGTGCCTGTAGTTGACAGTTCAAAGCGGAGATGTGGATTATTGGACATAATAGCTAAGTAATTGTCGTGATCTAAATATTGGTGGAATGATATGCACACATGATTCACAAATCCTATGCCAGCCGGAAAACTGCCAGTTGACCCGCTGGGCTGACCCTGGAATTTATAACCGGGGAAAAGCAACTGCACTACTTTTGCGAGCTGATCGCAAAGGAGCCAAACTGACAGTTCAATTTTAAGTATAATGGTCACAGGTCCTTAGCTCACCCAAGACGTAATCGATGTACAGTCAAACCTCGTTAATACGAACACTGGTAAGGCGAACTTTCCATTAGTACGAACTAAGGCCAATCCTATGGTTGGCCAGGCATCAACTCAAGTCAAAATTATTCGTTTATGACGAACTTCTGTACAGCGAACTTTCGCGAAGACGAACTATTTTCAAGTGTGATTTGAACAAAGTCAGTGTGGTCATGTACATGTAGTACGAACTTTCGGTCCACGAGCGTGCACGTAGACTACGCTGGCTGCCTTTTTTCTTCTTCTTTTTTTCAATAGTCGAGATCATATTGTACGTACAGTGCAAATTATTTTCAAGCGTGTTTTGAGCAAATCGATCAGTGCGTTGTACGAACTTTCGACACAGTCGTGATTCATTGCACTTTGTCATTAATTGTACTTACCTGTTTCTGGCTTATGCTAAGAATAACATGCTTCCATGTACCACAGCATGCACCTTCACGTAAATACAATCCATCTGATATGTATATCGATTTTTTGTCAGATCTGGATAAGAAGAACTCCCGATAAGACAAACAAATTTGTTCAGTCCCTTGAAGTTCGTCCTAACGAGGTTTGACTGTATAGTGCTGGAGACCCATGAGCTCCATGCTACAGCCTGTACAGGGTCTAGCTATGATACATGTAGTTTTTTTGGTTTCCTAGCTGTTCTGCCTACTGTGAGAGATACTGGACTTGGTGGGGTTTTGAGCATCCCACTCACTTCGATTACTGGACCTTGCAGGCCAGTGCTAATTGCAATTGATGGTGGTCGTGTGCTCATGCATGCTGTGTGTGCATTCTAGCAATGCACCGGGGGTGGGGTTGTTCTGCACTCACGTCAACAAAGCTCTGTACGGTCGGTGTAGCAGTAGGTGGATTAGGCACCAGCTCCACGGCTGCACAAACAGACAACGGGCAAAACGGTCAGCAACACCGTACATCATCCGTGGAAAAGAAAGCACAAGATCGCAAGGTGGCAGCATCCTACCTAGCTGCTTTCCCTTCACATTATACTCTATTAAAGTTAGTCACATTATGTCACGTCTCCCAAACTACAAAGCGTTTTGAGCTAAAATGATGCCACAAAGTCGCCCCTTTTGCTCAGCACACAATAATTATGAGATTCAACTACACCTCAAACAAATAGAACCTGGTATGAAGTCAGTGCCCATCCTCTAAGATTGCGTACAATGCTGTATCCTTTATGTATGTGTGTGTGTGTGGGGGGGGGGGGGATTGTCAAGTTGTGATGGCACAATGTTGCAAACTGTACGGTTTTCAACCTGTGCCAATTCTTACTCGCTCTCCAAACTCATACTTCGAAGTAGACTGTCTCAGAGCACAGACTGACATCTACTTTAGCGCAATACGCGCTTTCAGCACTGGCGTGGCATAACTCTTCCAGCTCGGGAATTTCCTTGCTACACAGCCCATGCACATTGGGCATCAGAATGATCGGTTGAACTTCACGAATCCACTGCAGAGTGGAATGATCATTCTGCTTTATCTTTGAACTGCAAACCAAACGAATTTGTGCAGGAAGGTGGATCGACTTTTTGCAGGCAGCACGAATCCACTGCAGAGTGGAATGATCATTCTGCTTTATCTTTGAACTGCAAACCAAACGAATTTGTGCAGGAAGGTGGATCGACTTTTTGCAGGCAGCACGAAGGCAGGTTACGAGGTGCATGCAGGTATCATTGTTGCGCCTGTTTCTCCCTGGACACTTTGGATCAACAGAGTAGAATCTCAGCTCTCCAGAAAGCCCACGATGATAAAATCAGAAAAAATCCGAGCAGCAACTGGTGAGTGAAGAAAGGATTTTTTTGGAACGACCTGAGTGGACCCATTGCAGGTGCATGCACAAGCACAGAGAAATGTTTTCATTTGCTTTGAGTTCTTTACATTCAAAATTGTTTTGGATTTTAGTTGCATTTCTATCATTGATAAAGATGGTTTTTGCCCGTACGAGAGGCTTGCAAAAAACAAAAACAAAAAAAACAACAGAGAAGTCAGGCAAGTTTTCGGGTCACATGCCGGTGGTGAAAGGGTTATAGTGCATGTTCTTGTATGTATGTTACTATGGCAGCAAGCAAGATGGTGAATATATGCTCGAAGCCATTTGCAATTATGACGGACAACCCTACAGTTGCCTGGCCTGGCCTGGTTTGTCCTTTAACTGATACAGTACAATTCCTATTACTTCCCTGTTCAATTTTAAATGATCTTTTTCGCACGCGCAAAAATATGTTAACACAGAAGGCGCATGCTCTGTTCCCAACAAACTCTCAAGCGCTCATTGTTCTCAGAAGTCCACTGTTCCTGATTTCATTTCTTGCTTTATCCACATTGGCAGTGGCTTTCTTTCTCAACCCACCCACCCACTCCACTATTGTCATCATCATGTTTCCTGTTCTAGTTCTCTCCTGTCAGTATCCATTATCATACCGGCCTACAATAACTACACCGATGCCGTCTACCGGCGAAACTCTGTAAGTACATGGAGGGGAGTCAACCTTGCTTACCAGGCTCCTCATACGGCTCATTCAGCCTCTCACACTCAGACGGCTCACTCAGCCTCGGCTCACTCAGCCTCCGCAGCAGAGCCCTGCCCAGCTGCCATACACACACATTCACACAGCTCTAAGCTGTCACTCACTTGGAGCCTGGCAAAGCAATTGACAAAACCCTCCTATTCCCCAAACTGGTTGCTCGTTGTGTGAGTGCGGCATGCAGATGCTTGTGTTCATGTTGATGGGTGCTATGCTTATGTACTTACTGCGACCATTCTCAGACTGGATACCCATTATGTTGGAAATGGTATTGGCACCGCTGTCAAACGTCACTTCGTCTAATGCCTCCATAAATCCTTCATCTGCGAAGCTAATTCTCAAACTCTGCAAAGTTATGCCATGCATGTATGCAGACACCACATATGCATGACATATACATAATAATTATATACACACATATTTGCACACAAATAATACACACACATGCACACACACGCGCAGAAGGTCAAAAACAGTTGTGCGAATGTACCATGTACCATGTATACGCCCGTCCCAAGAGAAGCATGCAAATCTGCAAATGCACTGGATGTGCACCCACAGATTTTCTCTTATAGCAATGATAGAGGACAGGATCTGACTGAATCAGATCAAGACAGCGCCAGGTGACTGCCCAAATCCACACAACTGGCAAAGCCATGTGAATCAACCCCCAATGCACACCTGTTCTACACCACACGGAGCACATCGGAATAGAACGGCCGAGACAGTCACCTATGCACACCCTACACTTGCTGGGGTAACCAGTCCAGAAAGAACGGCGCTATGATAGAAGCTAACACTAGATGCCCTGGTACTTTGAAGTGAAATTGGAGTTACTTTACTAACCAGCTTCGGCAACTGAGTACTGGGAACCCTGAGCCAGCAGACACACCAATAACCTCAGCCATGAAAGCTATAATAATGTTGTAGCAACGACACACTGGATTGTGGAGCCGAAGCTAATCCAACTTCAAATGCTTTGACCAAAAGGCAGCCTTCTAACAGATTGTACGCATGTGCACAAACAAAATATAATACACACATACCCCTCCCCCCCCCCCCCCCACACACACACCCACACACACATACACATACACATACACATACGTACAAAGACACCCACCCAAACATACACCCCCATACTGGATAACTGGCAGATAGAGGTCATATGGGTCTGCCCGGAGCCCGGAACGGGGAGGGAGAGATATTCAAAAGAGGACCTTGGAAAGATGACTAAATGAGTAAGTGGGTGGAGACAAGTTGAGGAAAAAGTTGACGATATCAGAGGACATGCACAGACATACATTAAAGACATACACAAACACATACATACACATACGCAGACACACACACACACACACCTGGTCCTGGTCCTGGAAAACACTGCCATTACGGACACATGTCCCCTTGCAGGGCCGACATTATGGAACGACGAGCGACGGCAATCCGCTGAGAGAGAGGTACTAGGTCGGGGACTCAGGGATCATGTTCGAGAGAGCCATCCCTGGCAGGTATGTATCTGGCATATCATCGGAAACGATTCCTCTCACGGCTGCCGCTTGAACTGGTCCATCACTCTCCACAACAGAGCGAACATTCCATGAGCCAATGCTCAGAGTCGTTCCAAGTCGTCGTCTTCGTGCGATAGTTTGCTCCACTCGTGGGCTTGCAAGGCCTCGCGAAGGACTCCGAGGTGGGGGCGACAAGGAGAGTGTCGGCATCGTAGCTATCCAACCAAGTCTCCTGTTGTTGAAGACCCCACCTCAGGCACTGTTTGCGAGGACGGCTGGGGACACACCAGGCCGTCTACAACGGCGAGAACAAGCACGGAAGGAGGCCAGAAACAAGAGCCCAAAACAGTACAACCGTCCTCCACCAGAGGAGAGAACACACATTTTCAAGATGTTGAACCATTTGAAATATTTTCTTATCGTCGGAAACGATTCCTCTCACGGCTGCCGTTTGAACTGGTCCATTGCTCTCCACAACAGAGCGAACATTCCATGAGCCAATGCTCAGAGTCGTTCCAAGTCGTCATCTTTGTGCAGTAGTTTGCTCCACTCGCGGGCGTGCAAGGCCTCGCGAAGGACTCCGAGGTGGGGGGCGACGAGGAGAGTGTCGGCATCGTAACTATCCGACCAAGTCTCCTGTTGTTGAAGACCCCACCTCAGGCACTGTTTGCGAGGACGGCTGGAGACACCCCAGGCCGTCCACAATGGCGAGAACAAGCACGGACGGAGGCCAGAAACAAGAGCCCAAAACGTACAACCGTCCTCCACCAGAGTAGAGAACACACACACACACACACACACAAGCATGCACGCACACACACACACACACACACACGTGAACACGCACCTGTGTTATCCAGAATGCGGGCATGCGTCTGGACGCAACGAAAATGTGGGTTCTTTTCGTTTCTCTATAGTACTTACGTCTAAAGTTGGCGCCTCATCGACATCAGCATCTTCTGCAGTGACTCCCTGACCACGAATGGGGGCTCCTTGACTGACGCCCATTGGAAAATCGATTTCGTTAACCTGGGGCAAGGTGACAAGCACAGGCAGTTAGTAAATACATGGAGAACGCATATACTCCAAAACGTATTGTCATCACCTAGAAAGGGGGATTCTACCTCACTCAAGTGTACATGCACGGCTTACTTTGTATGTACAGAAATACTTAGTTAAATTAAGCGGGTTAACTGCAGCATTGCATTGCACGCTAGATCCATCTCTTCCCCTACACAGGATCCTGGATACTCTCAAGACTGCTACGTGGACCTATCAGTGTCTTAGTAAAACCTATACATTTGGAGTTTGTTGCAGCATTGTTCCCCACTTTTGTGCGCTAGACCCCCCCCCCCCCCCCTTCACAGCCATGCCTGGATGTTCTCATAGTCTCAATACTGGTTCTGGGTTGAAGTGAACATGCAACTTGTTGGAAATCAGCAGATACTAATCGAAACTGTCGTGGGAATCCACAAGGGCATTGTTGCAATGACCCCACGATAATCCTGTTCCTCGCCTGAATGCAATTTGCATACCTCCTTGATAACACCTGCTCGTGCAGAACATCTGAAACCTGCAGTGGAGAGAAGGAAAACAGACTCAGTGAGTACAGGCTTCGACCATCTCGACGTACACAGGACGTAGCTATTCCAAACTCTTCGGAACTAATCCATCTCTCCCATCGGATGAGGTTGTGGAGTTGAGAGGAGTTTCGAGGAGACTTTCGTTTTCAATAAGCCACCTCTCCAGAAAAATTAAACTCCTCGAAAATTCGAAGAGTGACAATTCGAACCCCCCCCCCCCCCCCCCCCCCCCCCAGTACTAGTATCACAAGTCAGGGCCGTAGCATCTTGCCTGGGCCGGTCACGCATATTTCGAAAACGTTGATGTACCCACTTCGCGCACAACTGGGTTTTTGATCATTTCCGGTGAAATATCCCGCCTGAAATTCCTGTGCTATCCCTGCGAGTATACTGCAGTCAGATACTGTAATTCTCTACCCCCCGTCTGCAACTTATCCACTTTTTGGACAAAATGGGGATACTAGCGTCCTTGCAATCTGCTACCGTAGCGGAAGAATGATTCGGCCAGGAGCTGCTCCACCCAGACTGACGATTGCATCCTACTGGACCATACGTGATCAAGTCAAACATGTATTGAAACCGACAATAGGGTTGGCAAATGAAGCAAAATGCACTTACTTCCGTCATCCAGGACTCGACAAGTGCCGTTGACTCCACGTGCATCTTCGCAGTTGATAGGACACGGCAAGCATTCTCCCTCGGGTAGAGCCATCGACGTAGCATTGTACAGACCTGAGTAGCACAACAGAGTTTCAAAACACCGTGATCACCGCCATGATCACCATGATCACTGAATCAGTCCACCACGACCGAACCGTCATTTCCTTCACGTGGCGCACACGAACGCATGCATGCACCAGCCATTCACAACACAATTCACATGATCAAAATGCTTCTCTGCCTGCTGGTTTGAAGCTCGCCTCAAACTAATGCCGTAATGGGTAATCGCAAACAGCCAGAAACAGTCCTGTACCTGAAACAAGTGGAAGGACATAGGTGGACAAATGCGTATGCGCACAAGCCAGGGAGTTGCATGGAAGAATCATCGAGAAGCTTGGACTTGGAGCAACCACACAAATCATCAATGAGTCAAGACTCAAAAGTAATAATCTCTGTTAGCTCCTTTTCAAACGACACCGGACAGCATCAAGTTAAGTTTTTAGGAAACCTAAAACGACACTTACCGAAGTGCTTGACATTCGGCAACACGAGGAACTACTAGGACATCCTAACTAAAGTCTTGTTTCCTAAATCGCACATGCTCTCTCTCTCAGTGAACTAACCCGTAACCGATCTGCACAGGCACTGCACTCTGCAGCAACACTGACAGAAGATCATCAAAGATGGTAGATCTACGCGGCAGGGAGTCGTAAAAGGGGTTTCACGACTCTCTGGTAGATCTACACAGTCGCTGACGCACGAATGTGCTCATTGCAGGTCTAGACTCTAGTCTAGATGCTTGACTCGGACTTGGACTGGCAGCGGCCTCCGGCAACCTTGAAGTAACAATTCATTTATTATATTTTATATTATTTGTTGAAACCTCGCGATCCTTCCCACTGAGATCCACTACTTCGCAATAGTGTTTGTGGAACTACAGTACAGACTACAGACTACATACTGCTGGACATCCGTTGATCCGATGTGAGCGGACCAGGAAATGTCCGTTGCGGCATCATCACACATTCCCTCTTTTATCTCGCTTCTTTTCCATCATGCAGATCTTTACGACTTTAGCCTTTATGCCCTACTTTGTTTTACTTTTTCCTGTTGTAAAAGTCAACGGACATGCTAACCAAAACTAGCAACCTCTCAAAATGTCATTATCTTGAAGCAAAAAGTACGTACGTGCATGTAGATCTAGGCATGCATTCCATTCTTTTGTTGTCATCAAAATAATGTGTTCTGATTGGAGACGCAGCTTTCGACAACCCTCCAGCGGCTCCGCTGATCATGAGCTGACGCTGGTATTGAGTGGCTTGCTCGGCAGAGTGTCCACTACTACTGATCATCGAGTCTGTTTATTGCGCGGTCGGTTTGAGGTCCTTGCACACTGTCGCAGGGTATTCTTGTTCAAACAAAACCTCTCGGGCAAATCACAACACAGTTTGCCAGAAGGAGGACAACTACTAGTAGAACTAACTTAGGGGCCGTCCGTAAATATCGATGTTTTTTTAGAGACGATATTGGTGCGTTTGGGGGGGGGGGGGGGAGGGGGTTTGAGCGATGTGCGTCTTTTCGAGCATCAGAAAAAAATTAATATCGATGTAAATATCTGAAGTTTCGCCGATCCCTGCACGCGGACGTCTAAATGGCTATAAGAAATGTGAAACCAGCTTCCGTTCGCGGAGCTAAAACTCGCGACACAAGAACAAAATCAAAAATTGGAAGCTGTACGCCCATGGCGAATTTCAAGAGCAAAAGAATGAGCTATTGATTGTGGAAATCGGCCGAACGATGCCTGCAGGAGACCTTTTTCAAGACGTAGAGGCAGTGCGAACAAACACGGACGAACTCCACAAGAGTTTCCAAAAATATTGATTCCATGATCTACTCAATCTGCGGACAGCACGCTGTTTCGTTCTTTTTGAACTCATCAGCGCAGCACATTCCATGATCTAGATGTACATGTGCGTCTTCTGGGGGGAGGGGGGGGGGGGGGGTGGGTCAAGGGAGAGAAGCACCAATATCGTCTCTAAAAAAATATCGATATTATTTACGGACGGCCCCTTACTAGAAGGCAACAAAAGTGTTCGACTATATGACATGTTGTAGGTCGTTTCGTAGCACAGGACTTCTAGAACTACCGGTAGTAGATCTACTAGTAGCTCTGTTCTCCTCCTTCAATCTTGGTTTCGTAAAGTGCCTGGCCAGACGGGATGAACAGATTTACAATGAACGTTGCAGCAGCTCCATTTTACCATAAACCCTCTATCGCAGCATCGGGCGGAACACGTCTTCTACGTGTGCTTTAGTTTTGTGTTCCATCCGGCCCACAGGAACGCCATGTCTAAAAACCTCCATTTCCCAGGACTGTATTTCATGTATGTACACGACTGTATATTATAATATACATAATGCACCCGCAGTGAGGAGAAGGGACGAAAGCGATCGACTCAGAAACATTGTCATTGATTCCCCTTGGTAATGTGGATTTAAAAGCCAAAACATTAAAAAACACGTTTCCTTTACTTCGGTTCCCGCAGGCCATTGGCATTGGCCTTCTTACACGAGTGTGAAGGGAGAACCTTCTCTCTTCTTTTTTCGAAGGTTCCTGGATTTGTAATTTTGTGCCGGATCCGGAGCTGCATGCGCTGCGTCTCTGGCACAAGGAACCGGAACTAACCACTCTGCCAGGAGTGCACCCCCAACAGGACACGACTGATGATCCGGCCTGGGAGATAACAGCACTGTCTACTGAGTCTGTACTGGTACTGACACCCTCTAATAGCCCCCCCCCCCTATCAAACACGAAAACACACACAGCGACACACACACACACACACACACACACACACACACACACACACACACACACACACACACACACACACACATACATACACACACACACTACTACTACTACTATGATACAGCTACCCTAAACGGGTCACGCCGCCCTCCACCCAAGCATGAGCACTATGAGGGGCAGTGGCAAATAAAGAGAATCAGCTAGCAGAACTGGCAAAACAGATGAAACAATGGAGCAGAATGGATGACTGCTGTACTGTATACGTTGTAACAACAACCTGACAGCTACAGTAACACACACACACACACCCACACACACACACACACACACACACACACACACACACACACACACACACACACACACACACACACCCACACACAGGTGAACGCGCGCACGCATGCAAAGCCCTAGCAGTAGCATAGTTGAAAAATGAAACTTCATACCATCATCCCTTCTCAGTACCGCCCTGCTCACTGTACGAATAATTGCATCTACATAACATTACATGACATTGTATATAACTGGTGGAAGCGAGTCGTGATTTCGATTGACTGAACGAGTTTCAAGAGATACAGCCACACCCTGATTCAGTATTTTATGACTCAGGAAAGTGGATAACCGGTTGGTTAGGCCAGCATTTGCGTGCTCTCCAATGTACATTGTAGCTTTTAGGCGGCCCTCCACCATTGTGTTGGGCAAAACACAAGACGATCGCTTTCCACCATCCGTGCTCGGGCTACATCGCCAGGGCTGCCACAATGTTACAAAACTAGTAGTCATGGACGGAAAATGTATGGTGATTACGGATGCTTCGATGTTTCCGCATTCAGTGCAGTCTTCTAGGCATCATTGCGGGCCCCGCAACTTTAAAAAAATTCACGGTTCGCGTGAGACTCCGCTAGAGGCCGACTGTTCCGCATCCGTAGAACGCTACCACCCTTCAACTAACTTCAAGAATCAAAGCGCAGATGCAGCTCCTATTAAAAGCGGTGCCGGCGGGAGGTGAGGAGATCAAACCCACCAAGGTGGTCGAAGACCGAAAACGCACAGCTCGAAAAATCCTTCCGCATCCAAGCAGGACTTGAACCTATAAGTATAACTTTAGAGTCATCTGGAACCTTTAGTCACCTGCAACTTTAATCAGCGTCATTTTTATAGTACATGTACACCAATGCCATGATACACCATTTCCATTGCACACCATTTCCATAGGAATATTTTTGATCGAGCCACATATTCCGTGCAACAAGATGGATCGGAACTCGCTTACACTCTATAGCAACATAGTGGTATCCCACACATGTACTGAAGAAGATACTGGAAGACACACTATATTACTACACCAGCAACATACCGGTATATACATGTATAACCTTTGTCGTGAATCAGGGTACACCCAAGAGCAGAATACCAAAGTCCATCGGGTAAGTCGGGATTGTATAGGTTTACCAGTTCCACAAATGAGAGTCCTCCTTTCGTAAGACTTTTCAAGGTGCCGTGTGCCACAGGCAAGGCGTGATACCACCCTATTGCGCAGGGGTCGGGTTAAATATCGGTTGAATAAACAACCTGCGCGGAAACAAGCACATACCGTGCACTACTACACATTGTACTGCTTGTTCTTAGTCCGTTGGGCTCCAAAACAAATGTTCAGCGAGGTGATAAGTAAACTTTGACTGTGAATTCAATTGCAGGCATAGTTTTCGGGCTCCGCTTCACAACTGTCACATGTTGCATGTATTTGCCGGGCAGCCTTTCAATTAAATAAAAGAGAGCGACTTATGGTCAACTGAGCCCACATACCGAAGGTCATAATTATAGTTCTAACATGCTGTCCTTTTCATGGCAAGGAAACAGACAAGAAGCAATCAAGGCCGTTTCTTACCGAGTGGGCAAAGGTTGATCGTCTGGCTAGCCACCTCGCGTGTCAGCCATAGTGTTGTTAGCACAGTCAAGCTAAGCAACAAGCGTTCCAGTCCCATGGCTGCTGCTTATTGCGTGCACAATGCACGACTCAAGCAGACCAATGGATACAAACGACGCGGAGGAGCAGAAAATCAGCTCCTTCTCCTTGGAATGGAGGACTGTTTGGAAGATCAAAGCAAGATCGATTCCGGATATGCCCGCAGTATCCCCAAGCTTTGCTCCAACGTTACTAACATTGTTGGGGAGCTGGTAGGAGCCTGCAAGTGCAGAGTTTCGCTGGCGATTCAACGGGGAGATTCCAAGGACCTCTGAAGTGGTATACCAAACAACATGTTCAGCCAATTTCAGTTAACCCACTTAAGAAACGTTACGTGCATGCAGGCGCGATGCAGAAGCAGCGGTGTGATGTCCGTTTCCTTGGAGCACGAGTAATGGTGTATTGTGCAGGTCAGATCACGTTCGAGTATCGGAAAGTGGGGCACTTAACTCAGGTATGAGGCAAGAGGCGAGATCACCAGATCAATGCCAGGTATACTATAGCCCGGTATTGCCCGAGCACGTACGTCCTGAGCTTGGCCAGTAACAAAGGTCGCACAAGGCCTGGAAACCTCTATGCAGTGGTCCAGAACTCCAGCGGTACGCGAAGACTTCCATAATGGTGACTAAACAAAGGGATTGATTGTCTATGTACATACTGGGAATGGGAACGATGCTGAGGACAGCAAAGTGGAACTATGCGAGGAAAGTACGTACTGCTTGTACATAATTATGGCTCATGTAGTCGTTCCTATCTAGGTCGTAGAGTTCAGTTTGCGTAAAGCAAGTCAGAGGTCTCTACTTGCACTGCAAAGTGAGTTTCATGTGGTGGTATGCATTGTTGGTCAGTTCCTTATCATGGCTTATGTCATGCTGTGTCATGGGTCCATGGCTACCTACACCATTACCAAGGAACTTACTTACTTTCTTCTTACTATTATAATAATATTGTGAAAAGAAGGAGGACAAAATGTTACGCGTTATGCCTAACTGTCCACCAACGTAACCAGATCTTATGCAGTCAGCGAGTGCGACTGCATAAGTTAGTCATAAGTCGTAAGTTAGTCATAACTCGTAACATTTTGTCCTTCTTCTTTTCACAATAATTTAATAGGCTCACCATCCGATTTAATATTATAATAATGGTAAAGATAATTATGTGACGGATCGCATACAATATGCATTGACACAATAATAGTTATTAAAGTATAATAAATATTTCTGTGAAACACATGCCATGGTTCCGCTGCTGTTCCTCAGCTAGAGATCGCCCGCACTCGCACGCGCGCTATGCCGCGTGAGTAAACCCTCTCCAAGCTGCTCGATCTTGGGCCATCATAGAGACCTCGTCCAGGTGGTGCTGAGTGGAAAGGCCTGGTGCATTCAGTATTATAGCCATTGGTATAACATTGTTCAGCTCATTTTGTAGAAGCAGACAGAGCTCAGAGCAATGTCGCATCAGGGCTGCAGGATTTCATCTCTTTTACTCTGCTGGCGGATAACCTGCTTTCTTGACGGCAGAGCTTCTTATTCATACTACCGGAAGCGTGTAGCAATTTCATTTTTGGATCAATGACGTTTGCTCCTGTTGTGAGTGGCCTTTCAGCATAAAAGAAGGCAAAGAAAAACAGAGCCTAACGTGACGTCGTTCATGTAAACTATCACGACTCAACAGAAACGGCAACAAGAACTGTGATTTTGATCCTGATACCTGTACCACCAGTGCAATGACATGGAAAAGAACATTAGTGAAAGAACACCAAATAATTGCAATAATTGCACAGGTACAAGCACGCGGGGGGGGGCACTATTCAAGAGATTCCTCAGGGCTTTATTTTTTTCACTGGCCCTTACTGGCCTTTAGTAAGTTTAGAGACAGGGTCAGCATGGTCAGGGGCACTATTTGAGATATACATGTACATGTACATGTATGGCACTATTCAAGAGAGGCCTCTGCAAGAGTACAGTATATCATTCTGATCGGAGCATATACATGTACATGTATAATATTGTACAGGTACATTCGTATATGCAAATGTGCTATACGACTGTAGGTTGTGCTTTCTGCCTCTGGTGGCTATGGCAAGCATGCCAAGCATGCCAATGCGCTTTTCTCAAGGATCGCCTCTCTCCTGGCTGAGAAGAGCTAGGAGCCATGCGCAGGTTACTAGTATCTCCTTGCTGCACTGCCGCCTTGGCTTGGGTGTGCCCTGGTTCGTTGTGGTGCCATGTGCCTGCGGGGCTCAAGGAGCATGTTTGCTCCTGCCGTGCCTGAATCCCCTGCAGTGCTAGTAGTAGTGGTGGCCGAGGCAAGCATCCAGTGAACCTGCTGTGACTAGAGCCCTTTCCCAAAGGTGCTCGCCCTTTTTTCGCCTTTTTTGGCCCTTTTTGGAAAAGCCCGTTTCTTTCGCTCTTTATTGCGTTTTTTGTGAATATCACCCTTTTTGAGCTTTTTTAGCTGAAAAAGTGCTATATTAGCCTATAACCTGTTTGCTCATGCACACAGTTGCCGAGTGCTCGATGGGCCTTGGCACGCTGCTTTTTGGGGGGGGGGGGGGGCAACAAGTTGGTGAAGCTTGTACCCGGTACCCGGGTAAAAAGTGGGTTTTTTGAACTTTACTTCCTGTTTTGCCTTTCGTGTACCCATAACTGGAAGAGTGCGTCTTCATTTCTCAGCTTGGGTTCATATCTGAACATGTATCATGGCTATGCTTCACTGAAAAAAGAGCACTTTTTGTCTGTTTTGACTGAAAAAAGAGCACTTTTTCAGCATATTTTGAGGGACGCGAAAAGCACTACAAAAAGTGCGAATTAAAAGAGCACCTTTGGGAAAGGGCTAGCTGTGACCTTGTATTGTATACCTGTGTTTACTGCTTACTGCTTACTGCTGCTTTATTGTTCCAAGTATCAGTTTAGTTCAGTTTAAATATCTTTTATTATTATTTTTTCTCACCCCACACCCCTCTACTCTGTTATCGGCCCTCTTAAGAGTTGTGTTCATCACTGTTGAGGCTTCCGATGGAAAATAAAAGAATACTACTACTACTACTACTACTACTACTACTACTACTACTACTACTACTACTACTACTACTATTACTACTACTACTACTACTACTACTTGAGAACGGTTTTATTCACAACACCATGAAGTAAGAGTCAAAGCAAAAAGACAACCCAATACGAGCGGAGTGAATGACCCAGTAGTAGTAGTAGTAGTAGTAGTAGTAGTAGTAGTAGTAGTAGTAGTAGTAGTAGTAGTAGTACTACTACTACTACTACTACTACTACTACTACTACTACTACTACTACTACTACTACTACTACTACTACTACTACTACTACTACTACTACTACTACTACTACTGGGTCATTCACTCCGCTCGTATTTTCGACAAACGGCGTATGTGGCACGGAGTGCTCTCGTGCATTGAAGAACATTGTTCAGCTGGTGGTTAACAAGCATAGTGACCTCCAGTACGCTGTTGTGATGGCACAGCTACGCTGCAAAATTGCATTTGTTTTGCTGAGGTGGTCAATCACGTGCCTCCGTGGTTGCAGAGCGTCTTACTTGAGGAAGAGAATAGGCCCATCTTTTCTCGACCAATGTCGCCTTCTGTCCATGTAACCGCCTTCGGTATTCATATGTTGGCCTATTTAACATTGGCATGCTCTGCGGATTTGTAGGCATGCTAGGCAATTTAAATATTATCCTGCAAAGTATTTTGTAGGTGCTTGACTACTATACTACGTCATGTATTACATTTGGTACATGACCACCATTGTCGGTTGCTTCTGCTTCTGCTGCGTCTTCTGCTGCGTCCGTTCGTGATCCTCCTGGACCTGTGACCCGGCCAGAACCTGGGGTCCACACCACCCAGCCGGTTCGTGATAACCCGTCGGTCGCAGCCGTTACCGAGTCCCGCAAGCGAGCGGTCTCACGTCGCAAGGACAAGGAGAAGTCGCAGAAGGCACTAGTCGCGGCGTTGTATCCCGATCTGCCACCGCCTCAGAAATGCCTCACAGATATCGCCGGTGAGAAGGGCGTGTCGTCATGGCTGACGTGTGCCCCGCTTACTGCGCACCGGACAATCCTAAACAAGTCCGACAAGTCCGACTTTCGAGATGCGGTGTGCATACGCTATGGGTACCTGCCACTGGATGTCCCGTGCAAATGCGCTTGTGGAGCGGACACCACCCTACACCACTCGATGACGTGTCCACATGGGGGGTACCCGATGGCACGTCATGACGAAATCCGGGACACCCTGGCGGCTGTCCTTGGCGATGTCGTGCCAGACGTGGAGGTCGAGCCTAGACTGCTCCCTCTCGATGGCGAGGTGCTCGCCGGCCGGACCGCCAATCGCAGCGCTGAAGCTCGTTTGGACATCAGGGCCGGGGGTTTCTGGACAAGGCAGCAGGACGCTTTCTTTGATGTCAGGGTCACCCACCCTAAAGCGTCCCTGCTGTCGCGTTCGGAAGCCCTTGGCCAACTGCGCACCAACGAGTTGGAGAAGAAGCGAAAATACTGCCAGAGGATCACGGACGTCGAGCGAGGTGCCTTCACTCCGTTGGTGTTTGCTACGAATGGCATGGCTGGGGCAGAGTGTGGAATGTTCCTGAAGCGGCTTGTTCAGCGCGTGGTGGAGAAGCACTCTGACCTACAGTACTCTGTCGTCATGCACCATCTTCGTGCCAAGATTGCCTTCTGCCTCCTCCGCTGGGCCGTAACCTGTCTGCGTGGATGCCGGGGAGCTCGGGGCGTACGCCGTGGCAATTCGTTTGTCACGGAGTGCAGGCTGCTCCGGTAGTGGCATGGGGCTGTGTGGCCGATCCTAAACGGATGTTGTGACGTAACGGACATATCTGTTTTTGAGCATGTCTTTGTTTTTTTTTTGTTTTTTTGGTTCTACTTTTATAATAGTTTGTTTTGTTTTGTTTATCGGACAGATCGAAATAAGCATTCACACGCAGACAAATTATACATCCACCACCCTATTGGTTTATGATGTTTTTACACATACATGTATACCCCCAATAGGCTATTTATCAGACTCGAGTTTTCAACTTACACATTCCACATTCACCACTCAATTGGCTTTTGGTTTGTTCACACATACGTACCATACGCGATC